ACACTCCCAGTTATCACTTGTAAAAAGTTAGGCAGATGGCAGTAGGTTAAGACCACAAAGAAAAAAAAAAAAGCAAGAAATAGAGAGTATCAGGACTCTTTTTTTTTCCTGAGACAGAGTCTCATTCTGTCACCCTGGGTTAGAGTGTTTATTGTAGCTCACAGCAACCTCAAATTCTTGGGCTCAAAAAATCCTCTTGCCTCAGCCTCTTTAGGAGCTGGGACTACAGGGACCCACCACAGCACCTGGACAGATGTTTTAATTTTTAGTCGAGAAGGACCTCACTCTTGCTCAGGCTGGTCTTAAACTCCAGAGCTTAGGCAGTCTTCCCACCTCGGCCTCCCAGAGTGCCAGGATTACAGGCTTGAGCCACTGTGCCCTGCCTAGTGTCAGGACTTTTAAAAAAGTTGCTTGAATGCCGTTCTGAGAGCTCTCACTAAGGCTCCAACAGCAGGAAGAAATAATGTTATTAGCAAACAATTGGAAGTTCTGAAATGTATGGTTTATAAAGGTTGATAAAACGTCACACCCTTATCGTCAGAGTTGGCAATGATACTCTCGAAGTCTGGGAAAGGGATGGGGAGAAGTTTCAAAATAGCGTTCTAGTGATAAAATGTTTAAAAATACCCCAGTGGGACTGGTGAGAACAAAAGACCGCAGTTGCGTGGGGTGGGAGTGCGCGGAAGCTGCCACGGCGCTCACGAAAGCATGTCATCTCAGGCGTGCATGTGGCCTGAGAGGTGCAGTGACACAGTCTGAGTTCACTGAGCAAAGGCAAAAAGCCTGTGCTTTCAGAAACAAGATCGCTAGTGATGCCTGTGGAACCCGCAGAGCTCTGTGAACAGGTAACCCAGGGCAGAATCAGGGGGATTCAAAAATAGGATTGGGTAGGATAAGAGTGCTTAGCAGATGAAGAAGTTCAAAGGAAAAGCGCAGGAAAAAAATAGAACTCACCTGGAGTGCTGTTTACCCTTTCATCCAGTGAAAGAAAATGGCTGAATCCATATCAGAAATCCCATAAAGAAATAAAGACCCAGTAGAGTAATTGTCCTTGCTCATAGCAGAACCCATGTGTCTGAAGCTGCTATGTCCCTCACTTCTGTCTCCGTCTCTGCACTGGCAGGGTCACAGGTATGCTTTCTAGCCCCAAATGAAACATCCATTTTTGTCTTTTCTCCACAGCAGTTTTCTAGGTGGGCAGATCTTAAGAGAATGACCCCAACTCAGTGACTGAAGTAAGGACAGAGATGAAGGAGACTCAGAATAACTCTTAAGGGGACTGTGGGGTGATTGTGTGGTGGATTGAGCGTGGAAGGGATGATCTCATTGCACCCCGCTGTGCTTACTGATCTCTTCACAGTCAGATCCTGTGGCCCTTTGCTTGCTTTAATTCTCCTTAACATTTCTGCAATACTCAATACCCTTACCTGAAGTTTTCCTTCCTGAAAAGCTGTACATCCCACAGGGCAGTGGTCTTGGCTGTCGTACTCCCCACAACACATCACAGGATGCCTGCCCCTTACCTGAGCAAATGAATGCACCAGTGGACGAGTGAATGAATGATGGACATGACAGATCAGTCATTGTCTTTGTATTTCCACTGACTCCAAATGTTGAGCTTACTAAAGTTATTGATATATAATTTTGGTTGTCAGTATAAGATTATGTGTGAAAGAGAGATGAGAATTCACCCTGGCTAATTATCACAGCTATTCTACTATATCCCAAATGTATGTCTCCAACACAAGTGTTCAAATATTAATTAGATATATCTATTTACTACAAGGAACCTTGTTATTTTAATTAACTGTCTATAGTGATGGTCCTTTCTCTTGAATTAGATTTAGAGCATTTTAATAAATGAGGCCACAGATCATCATTTTTCTCTCTACCCCTTAGGAACTAACACAGAGAAGAACTGTGCATTTTTTCTGGTTAATCAGTTGTGAGAGACAGTTTATTTTCCTTGGCTTAAAACAATCATTTATCATTAGACAGCATTTTATTTGCTTTTCCTTAAATTCAGGCAAGCAGGTAGCCTAGAACCATCACAGATGCAGAAATAGCATCGGGTAATGTCATTCTACAACTGGACTTTTTACAAGTACCTTTGGAATTCAGGGTGTGTTGTGCTGGTAAAGAAGGCTGTTTCACACACGCTTACTCATTTATTATTCTTCTAAGAAACATTTATTAAATGGTGACTCTGAGCTTCATCCTAAGGTTAAGTAGGAAATTAGATGGATAGATTTGAGCTCTGCTTACACGAGACATGTAGATTAGTGAGAGTCCAAAAATAATTAAGAAGACATGGAAATGAGAAATTTAAGAAAATTTAGCTCTATGAGAGTGACACAAGATATAGTAAAATGGAAAGACTGATGGCTTAGGCAGTTCAGGCCACTGTAACAAAGTATGACAGACTGGGTGTCTGCGAAACTGCAGAAATTTATTACTCACAGTTCTGGAGGTTGGAAGTTCAAGATCACAGCGCCAGCATGGTTGGATTCATGACAGGGGCCCTCTTCCAGTTTTATAGATGGTTATCTTCTTGGTCTGATCTCACATGGTGGAGAGCAGGGAGAGGAAGCTAGCTCTCTTATATTTCTTCTTATCAGGGCACTAATCTTAATGAGGGATCTGCCTCCATGACCTAATTACCTCCTATAAGCCCTACCTCCTAATACCATCACACTGGGGGTTAGGATTTCAACTCTGAATTGGGGGGATATTCAAATATTCAGTCCATTGCAACTGAATTAGGGTTTCCAAGAAGCACCTAAGAAGATAACAGTGAAGTTGAGACTTGATGGATTAACAAGTGGTCATTAAAAACAAATAAAAGAAGGGTAGCCTTGTGAGAAAAGAAGCAACTTTGGTTTACGTTTGATATGTGCCAGGACCTGAAAGGACCAGAGAGTGTTTAAGAGGAATAGTGCTTGTGAGGTGATGTTGGAGAGAAATGCACAGAAGGGGTGCAGTAAGCCTCCCTGACATTGGTAAAGAATCTGGATTGTGGCTCGGCGCCTATAGCTCAACCGGCTAAGGCGCCAGCCACGTACACCTAAGGTGGCGGGTTCGAATCCCCAGCCCAGACCCGCCAAACAACAATGACGGCTGCAACCAAAAAATAGCCGGGCGCTGTGGCAGGCGCCTGTGGTCCCAGCTACTTGGGAGGCGGAGGCAGGAGACTCGCTTGAACCCAGGAGTTGGAGGTTGCTGTGAGCTGTAATGCCACGGCACTCTACCCAGGGGGACAGCTTGAGGCTCTGTCTCAAAAAAAAAAAAAAAAAGAATCTGGATTGTATTTGGAATGTGATGTGAGGCCTCTGAGGCCTTTTAAGCAAGAGAGCCGTGTGATTCAAATTATGCCTTAGCAAAGATCACTCTGTTACATACTGTTATATTTCTGTACTATGGGCTTAGGCAATAAATTAAAGGTGTTTGGGTTAAATTGTATGCTGAGAACGTGCCTTTTATGAAAGCATGCATCCCAGGGTTATTTGTTCTTAGAGCATGTTTTGCAAAGGGATCGTTGGATTGAAAATAGGACACCTGTGCTTAAATTATGCCTCTTTCAATGCCTAGGTCAGTGAGGTTGTGCAAACTAGTACTTTAGTTCTTGGTTTCTTAAACATTACTACGGTGAATTTTATCCTAATAACTCTTAAAGTCCCTTCAAACACTATAATTATAAAGATCTATTCAGATATTGGTGTGCCAATCACACATACAGTATATTGGGCCAAATAAACCTATTTAGAGAGTGCCTAAAAAATAACTCTGGTGTTTGTTACGCCTATCAGGAAACAGCTAATATACCTTTGAACATTGGACTTTGTCCAAGAAAAAAAGAGCAATGTAATTTATAAATATTATCTCATAATAAGTACAGGATTGATGGTGAAGAATATTTTTACTCTATTTCTGATAATTCTGACCTGGTTCTTTTATGCACCAACTACCTATTGAATGTGTATGTTTACTGTGCTAAATGCCAAAGCTACATATATATAGAATACAACAAAATACGTGAGGCTCTCAAGTGCTACAGTAATGGGGAAGACAGACTTGGCAAGTTACGATGACAATACAATACGATTGTCATGTAAAAATATGGCCAGGGTGCCTGGAGAATCCAGAAGAGAGGCAAGCCATCTTCCCGAGGAGAGAGCAAGGACATTTATAAGTCTAGATTCCTCATTTCTCTTCTTGGTTCGATTTCTCCTTTATTTTAAACGTTAGATTCAGTCAAGCTCAGACCCAGTATTGTCCTTTTTAAGTACCATCTTTACTAATACTTAACAAACATACTATGAAATTTGCCCTTGCAAAGTATACGATTCACTGGTTTTTAGTTTATTCCCAGAATTGTGTAACCATCACCACTACGTAATCATGGAATGTTTTCATCACCCCACAAAGAAAGCTCACCCCTGTTAAGAATCACTCCCCGTATACTCCTACACTCAACTCCGGCAACTAATCCACTTTCTGTATTTATGGATTGGCTGAATGTGCAAATTTCCTGTAAGTGGATGATATGGCTTTTTGTGCCTGGCTTCTTTTACTTAGCATAACAAGGTTCATCTTTGTTGTAGCATATGGTATATATCCGTATTTTATTCCTTTTTATTGTTAGTTTATATTCCATTTATGAATATGCCACTTTTGTTTATCCATTTGTCAGTTCATGGACATTTGGGTTATTTCTAGTTCTTGGCTATTATGAATAGTGTTGTTTTGAACATTCGTGTATATAAGTTTTTGTGTGGGCATATGTTTTTATAAACAAATAGCTATGTGATAACTCTATGTTTAATATTCTGTAGAACTGGTATGCTTTTTCCAGAGTGCCTGCACTATTTTATAATCCTGTAGGCCATGAATGAGATTTCTAATTTCTCTACATCCTTGCCTTGTTATTGTCAGTCCTTTGTAACTGTCTTTGCAGTATCTCAGTGTGGTTTTGAAGTGTAAAATCTCTATTAAATAATAAGTTTGAGCATCTTTTCTTGTGTTTGTCGGCCATGCATGTTATATCTTCTTTGAAGAAATATCTAATAAAATTCTTTATTCACCCTTTTATTCTGCCAGTTTTTAAGTTGGATTATTTCTCTTTTTATTGTTAGATCAGATTATTTATAGTTAGAGTATAGAAACACAGATTGAGTATCCCTTATCTGAAATTCGTGGGTTAGAATTATTTTGGATGTGGCATTGTTTTTGATTTTGGAGTATTTGCATAAACATAGTGGGATATCTTGGAGTTCGGACTCATGTCTAAGCAGGTAATTCATTCATATTTCATATATATTACACACATAGCCTAAAGGAATGTGATATCATTCATGTGATAATGTTGTGCATAAAATAAACTTTTGACTGGATTTTGACTAGGCCACATCACATGAGATCAGATGTGGAACATTCCTCTGTAGTTTAATGTCAGTGTTTAAAAGTATTGGATTTTAGAGCATTTTGATTTTTGGATTTTTGAATTAGGGATGTTCAGCCTACATAACTAATTTTTGTATATTGATATTGTGTCATGTACCTTTGCTGAGCTTATAAATTGTAAGTCTTGTGTGGATTCCTTAGAATTTCTACATAGAACGTCATGTCATCTGCAAGTAGACATAGTTCTGCATGTTCCTTTCCATCCTTTCTGGATGCCTTTTATTTCTTTCCCTTGACTTATTTCCCAGGTTATGTCTTTTACAAAAGTTTCAAATAAAGTTTATGAGAACAGACATCTTGAACTAGTTCATGTTTTAGAGGGAAGTGCAAAAGACTCAGTCTTTTTTCAGTAAGTATTATATTAATTTTGGGTTTTTCATGGATGGACATTTATTAGATTGAAAGATGTTATTTCTATTTCTAGTTTACTAAGTGTTTTTATCATGAATTATTTTAGATTTTGTCAAATGCTTTATCTGCATGTGGGTTTTGTCTTTTATTCTACTATTATGGTGTATTACATTAACTGACTTTCAAGTATCAAACCATGCTTGCATTCCTGTGATAAATTGCACTCGATCATGTTTTTTATATGTTTCCAGATTCATGGTAATTAACTTGTTATTAATGTTTTTCTGCACATATATTCATAAAAGATATTGGTCTTCTATGTCCTTTTTGGGTCATGGCTTTATCTCTTTTGGTGTCAGGGTAATATTGTTTTCCTGCTCTTCATTTTATTTATTTTTGCTCTTATCTTTATTATTTTATTCCTTCTGTTTCCTTTCAATTTATTTGCTCATCTTTTTCTAGCTTTTTCTCTATAAACTAAATCTGAGGCTCCTGGTTTTTACAGATATGTTGGTCTTAGGATAGCTGGTTTTGAAGGCTATTCTGGAGCTAAGAAGGAAGGAATGAGATCAGGGCAAGTGAAAATGCTATAAATCATATTGTTCTTATCCAGATTCAGTCAATTTTTTCTAAATAATTGCTCCCTGGATTTTTGTAAGCTTGTGGCTAATTTCTAGAGTTCTTGACAAATTGATTTTTGAATTTTGCTAGTGTTCTCATTGCTTTTATGGAAATAGGATTTTCGGAGGCCTTTCATTCTCCTATTCCTATACGGTTCCTATACAGTTTTGTGTTAACTGTATTTGAAAAGAGAAGATTCTATAATACATGGAAGAGACATTAATTGTACATTTATGTGAACACAAAATAGGTGATTATATAATGTGGATGAGAATTAAAACCCTTTTCAAATGGCTATTTGGGTAAAAATAAAGCATTCTTCACAGTCAGTTGAATACATGCCAGTAACTTGGGACCCTGATAATTCTCATACAATGGGAGTCCCAATTATTTTTGTTCTAGTGAAGAAATGCTGATGTGCTCATGGGCTTAACTAAAATTTTTGATTTTATGAGCTGAGTTGAGTCCATTAAATCTTTAAAAGATTGCCTTCTGAAAAAAGTGTGTGCCAATATGCCCTTGAAGGTATAGGTGTGGAGACCTTCAATTTAGACATGGCTAGAGACAACAGGCATTCGATAGGACTGATTAACAGAGGAAGCATCGTCACTTTTTGTTAGTGTTTATTGCTCATTTTTAGTAGAGTTTTATGTTAATATTTAAATACTTGAACTAATTGTTGGTACTTAATTTCATTTTACTGAAAGCACATTAAGGGTGAGTAGATTGTCAGAACAGTGGTAGTAAGTCATGATTTGGTTTCTGTGATAAGTGAAATATGATTGCTGTTTTGGTGGTCTGCTGAAACTGCACTTTTCTTCTTGCCTTAACAGATGGAACCTCTCTGGATGTCATTCTTTCCAATGTTACAATTGGATGTGAAAGAGAAGAATTCTGTTATATTAAATAGGCAAAAATAATACCAAAAATGGAAAAGTGATATTAAAAGTAAATTCAAGTTAAAAATATTAACATGGTAAATGTACACATTACATTATAATGGTGACATTTGTTTATTCAGAAATACTTAGAAGTATTTATTATTTGTCAGAAACTATTCTTGATTCTTGAGATATAGTAGTAAATGAGTCAGATAAAATCCCTGCTCTCCTGTTGTTTACATTCCGTTGGAGAAGTGACATGATAAATAGACGTAATACATAATGTTTAATTTATTTAAAAAGTTCTTTAAGAAGGAAAATAAAAAAAAAATAAAGGAGAAGAGGGCCAAAGTTGTTGTGAGGTATAGCAATAGTATATTGGTGCCCAGGAAAGGACTTGACTAAGAAAATAACATTTTGGTGAAAATCTGAAAGAATTGTGTGTGAGCCATTCTGAGCAGAAGGATCTGCAGGTGCCATATCCACACAGGAGCACGGTGCCTGGAGCTGTGCAGGGAACACTGTTTGCCTGGGCAGGGCGAGGGGCACGTGTGTCTGTAGCAGAGTCAAGGGGCAAGTAGCCAGAGATGAAGCCAGAGAGGTTTCAAGATGGCAGATCTTTTTCAACTAAGGAGGGGCTTGTATTTTATTTTGTGCAAAGTGGAGAGACACTGCAGAGTTTTGACCAGAGAAGTGATGTGGTCTGAGGTACATTTTAACCTAGTCACTCTAGCTGCTGTGCTAAGTATAGCCCAAAGGGGTGCAGGTAGGAACAGGGACGTGGCTTGGGGGCTATAGAAGTAATGCAGATTAGAGGCAAAGGCTGTGCTAAGGGTAGCAGCAGCCTGGGTTTTCAGTATTAGTTGAATTGTAGATATATTTTGGGAGTAAGTTGAAAGGATGTCCTCATAGATAGAATATGAAGTGTAAGGGAAAAAAAATAGTCCATAATGATTAAGTTTTTTCTTTGTGTCTTCTGGCCTAAATGAATATATTAATGGAGTTCCATTTACTAAAATGGGAAAAACTTCTAAAGGAACATGTGTGTGTGTGTGTGCGCGCGCGCGCACTACTTGGAACAGTAGGAGCTGAATTTCAGATAAGATTAATCTGAGATGCCCATTATAAATCATGGATGGAGACATAGAACAGACATTTAGATGCACCAATCTAGAGTTTATGAAGATGCCTGAGCTAAGATACATTTTGAGCATCATCAGTATACAAATGGCATTAAAAGCTGTGAGCTGGGAAGATTACCAAGCCAAGGCTGAGAGCACTGGGAGAAGACAGCAATGATCCCAGGTGTGAGCAGTGGGGCGTTTCCATTGAGAGGCTGGAGACGAGAGCAGAGAATTCAGAAGTATAGAATTCTAGAAGCCAAGTGAAGTGTGTCTTGAACTAGGGACTGAGTGGATTAGGACTGAGAACTGACTCTATGATTTAGCCATATAGAGATCATTGTTTGATTAAGCTGACTCTCTCCCCAAGAGTGGAGGATTTATAATTTTAATGAATTTCATGCTGCTCAACCATACTGCTAAATGTTTTAATGGATGATAGAGAATGTACTGAAATAGAATGAACAATCACAGCCTTTAAGCAGCAGATCTTTCCTGGCTTTCTCTGACCTGCTTGATTAGATAAGACAGCAAGGAAGAGAGGGCAGTGCATTCCAGCCCTGTGGGGTGCACTGTACAGTTCTCATAAGAAAAGTGCAGACTTTATGGCGCTTATTGTAATTGCATGCTGAAAAACTTTTTTGTTGTATTAATTCATTCCTTCGTTGAAATATAAGAACTCTGAACTCACAAGATGAAAATATTTATATGAACTTTGAGTGGAATCAGATTTGTAGGTGTTCGTACAGCTGCACATGTACTCTCAGAAAATATTGTTGGCCTTTCATTTAAAACCTATTAAAACATTCAGTTGTTATAGCTGAGATTCCTTTATGTTTTAGCTAACATAAACATTGGTCAGCAAATGAAGTCGTGAATATTTGCTGTGTTCCCTTCCAATTCTCAAGTGTGGATTAGATAGGAAAATTAAAAGGAGAAAAATATGTGAGGTTATTTTGTTACATATCACATGTGACATTATTTTGTTATATATAAAGACCTGTGCATATGTTATGGTGGTTATTATAGTAAACCCATTTGCATTTTTTTATTTGAGGAAATCTGTGATATAGGTAATGCAAAACAGACTAATCAAAATGTGCATTTATAGATCTGATTTTATGATGTAATTTAGCTACAGGATTAATACGTGTATCTGGAACATTATTTCACCTTGATAATCTGACTATAAAAAATGGAAAGTTATTTAAATATATCTTCCTTTCTTGTTCTCCTTGATTTCTCTGCTGATTCTCTGCTTTGGGAGTGTGGGTGCTACATCTTTGCAGTGAGATAAGAGTGATGGGATTTTATCCATTTAGTGTTTGAAATCTAGTTTTTGGGGTTTTTTGTAGTTTTTCCCACATATTGTATGAATTTTCATACATCATACAGGGTGTTGTTCCCAGTGTGACTTCCCCACTGTCTTGTAAGGTCCTTGAGGGTAGGGGCATGTCTTGTTTGTGCTAAGCTATAATTGGATCCTATGTAGTTCTGAGAACTGGCGTAACAAAATCCTAAAAATCTTAGGCTTTGGAAACAGATAACTGTGGGTTCAAATTCTAGCCTATCTCTTCCAAGACAAGCCAGTCCACCTCTCAG